TTGATAGAAAGTATAGGGAATATTCTTCTTCGAGTGCTTGCTCATGTCCATTCTGACTAGGTTTGTGTGTGCCGCGTGCACCGTCTCCGGAGCTTTTTTCCCTTAGCAGTCTCCATAGTGCCAGCAGGGCACCCCCTGGAGTGGCGCCAGTATACCGGTGCCTATATACCCCTGCTGACCCCTAAACCCCCTCAGTTCCTTCTTACCGCCAGTGACGGTTAGCTGGAGTGTGTTGTTTAGGCTTTTAGCCTCATCAGTAGCAGTTTCATACCATGTACATAGTTAGATTTACATCCAAATAGTAGTTAATTAGTATAGTTAGTAGTATAGGTAGTGAGTGGCACTCTGCCCGTTAGGGGAGGGGATGCCAGGACCTCAAGACTTTAAGCCATGCAGTGACTGTTCAAAGCCTATGCCCTGTGGCGACCCACACTTGTTGTGCCTAAAGTGCCTGGGTGAAGCCCACAGAGCAGAGAGCTGTTCAATCTGCCAAGGATTCAAGCTTCGAACTAAAAGAGAAAGAGACTCTAGGCTCAAGCTCCTACTAATGGAGGCAGCTCTGCAACCTCAAAGCGTTGAGAGACTGCAGTCGACCAGTAGCACACCGTCGGAGCCGTTAGGAGCTCTGCAGCACCGGGCAGATAAGGCACCATGACACTCCAAGGGCTCAAGGGGCAGATCAGCGGAAAGATGGAGCCATAAGGTACTGAAACAAAGCAGCACGGGCGCTCAAAGACATGAACTGAGGGTGGGGGACATGCAGCCCCCTTCCACCACAGAAACCTTCGAGGTAGCCAGGGAGCTTATTGAGCTTGCGGCTGAGGAGGGAGACTGTTTGGTGCCACAGATGCAGACCATAGCCCCCCAGGGTACTATTCCCATGATCTCGGCACTGGCGGGGGGGACTGGCCCTGATCGCCGTACCAGCTCAGCTCCCTGCACTGGCGATAATCCCGACACCAGCTCAGAAACCAGCCCCGATGCCGCTGCATGCCCAGGCACTGGCCCAGATACAGTCCACAGTGCCGGCCCTGATACAGCCTCTGGTGCCATCATCAACATGGGCTCCGCAAAGCAGCCAGGGTCTATTCATGGCACTAAGGCTCCCCCTACAGGGAGTTAGTATAACAACGCTGATCATGGCACTCGCTCCAGCTCAGCAGCAGCAGCTGCAAACCCTCCTCATGGCACCGGGGACAGCACCTTCCCTTGAGACCAGAAAGCTGGCAACACAGCGGACACAAACAGGTGCTGCCATGGCACAGAGAGTCTTCTACCACCTTGCGGCACCGGTGCATCAGGTGGCATTCGGCGCCCTGATACTCCTGCCTATCCTGCATCCAATCCTGGCACCGGCTCAGTTCCAGATAGCCCAGTCGGTGCCACAATCAACCACGGCACTGCAAACATTTCTTCTGGCATATCAGTTACCGGTGGACTCCAGGCAAACTTAGCAAATGCTTCCCCCGGCACCATGAATGGCACGTAGGGGCAAGCCATGGGCCATGGCAGCACATAGGAAGGAGCAAAGTGCAACAGCCCCTCCATGGTCTGCCTTGGACTATTCATCAGAGTCCGAGGCGGATTCAGACAGATCAGTAAGATCATCTTACAGGTCTAGGTCCCGACACCACTCCAGATCCAGTATGAGGTCAGGACATAGCGGAGGTGCTGACCAGCCCCAGTGGCAGTACCAACCACAGTGGCCATTCTGGATGCCCTCGGCATACCATCAGGCCCAGGGCCCTCCACCACTGGTGTCGGTGGTGGAGTCGACCAGGAGAACCAGCGCCCCATCGGCCAACCCCCTGAGAGCACCCACATCGGGACCGGAGTCCTCAGCTAGACCACCCACAGTGGGCCAGGTACAAGTGCCACTGACCAGGTCGCCAGCTCCTCTGGAGTCAGAACCCCAGTCACTCATAATTATGGGGATGACAGAGCGGGGAAAAGAGCAGGTACCACCCAGGGAGTCTTCTTCCTCACCTGATGAGGTGCTAGGGGACTCATCACCTCAGCTTCCATTTATGGACGCCAGAGCGCACCAAGACCTTTTGAGAAGACTGGTGAAGAACCTGGCAGTAGGAGCAGAAGAGGACCAGGAAGACCTGGATCTCATGGTCGACATTCTGTCAGCATCGGGCCCTGGGAGAGTGGCACTGCCCCTAAACAAGACAGTGGATAAGCTTTCTAAAGCTATATGGCAGATACCTGCATCTATCCCGCCAACGCAGAAGGGGGTGGAGAGGTGCTATTACGTACCCCAGACCGGCCATGAACATCTTTTCACCCACCCCACCCCTGGGTCTATAGTGGTGCAGGCAACGGGGCAGAAAGAGCACCAGGGGCTCCCTGGCCCGATGCCGAAAGCAAAAGAACCCAAGAAGCTAGACCTTATGGGCAGAAAAACCTATGCCATGGGGGGGACTTCAACTTCACATTGCGAACCAGCAAGCGATGCTGGGCCGTTATGCCTTTAACACCTGGGCATTGGTAGAAAAATCCAGGGAGCGTCTCCCCCCGAGGACCGTCAGGAGTTTGGAGCTCTCACGCAAGAAGGAAAGGTGGTGGCTCACACTACCCTTCAGGCAGCGCTAGACACTGCAGATTCTGCGGCTCGTACCATGGCCACTGTGGTGGTAATGAGGCGCAACGCATGGCTCCAGGTTTCTGGCATCCCATCGGAGGTTCAGTCGATGATTCAGGATCTGCCGTTTGAAAGGCCAACTTTGTTCTCTGCGCAAACAGACTCAAGACTCCATGGCCTAAAGGACTCAAAGGCAACCCTAAAGTCCCTTGGGATACATACCCCTGCACCTTTAAGAAGGTCCTTCGACCCTAGACCATACCAGAGGCAGTTCCACAGGGGGTGTGGGTCAGATAGAGTGCAGTGCAGGGGACATGACAGTGGTCGCCCTGATCAATTCAGGAACAGGCGCAGGGGGCCTAGAGCTGAGGCCGAGAAGGGGTCTGGTCCCTCGCTCGGGCAGCAACCCAAGCCATCATTTTGAAGATACGCCCGAGAGCAGAGTACTAGTCAGCCCCTCCCCCCTAACCCCTCCTTTGGCTCTTGCCTTTCCCTCTACCATCGTGCTTGGGCGCATATCACATCGGACTGATGGGTGCCCGATCTGGTGGCACAGGGATATCACATAACCTTCCTCTGTACCCCACCTTCCCATCCACCTCCTCCCCCCATCCCTTTTCAGGGAAACCCTTCTAAGACAAGAGGTCTCCAATCTTCTGTCTCTGGGAGCTATAGAACCGGTCCCACAGGGTTTCAGGGGGAGAGGTTTTTACTCATGATATTTCCTCATCCCCAAGGCAAAGGGAGGCCTTCATCCTATTTTAGACCCAAGGGATCTGAATATATATAAAAAAAAGACAAAGTTCAGGATGGTCACCCTAGCTTGCATCATTCCATCCCTGCAAAAGGGAGACTGGTACGCTGCTCTTGATCTAACGGATGACTACTTCCACATTGCAGTGTCCCCGGAACACAGAAAATTCCTCAGATTCATGGTGGGAGGGGATCATTTTTAGTTTACGGTGCTCCCATTCGGGTTGTGTACCACCCCAAGGGTGTTCACCAAGTGCATGGCAGTAGTGGCTGCATTTTTGCGAAAACACGGGATACAAGTATACTCCTACCTAGATGATTGGCTTATACGGGGCACATCCAAGGAACAGGTTCAAAACCAGGTCGAACGCACAAGATCACTGTTCAACAGCCTGGGCCTACTAGTAAACGAACCAAAATCATCTCTGGACCCCATACAAGTGATAGACTTTGTGGGGACCCACCTGGACTCAATCACAGGAAGAGCCTCGCTGCCTAGGAGCAGGTTTTGTACAATGCAGTCATTGATAGTACAACTGCAGATGTTTCCTACTACTACGGCAAGAACCTGTATGAGGATCCTAGGACATATGGTGACATGCACATATGTAATCCAGTACGCCAGGCTGCGCATGAGACTACTTCAGGAGTGGCTCAAGGCCGTGCACAACCCTGTGAGGGCACCCCTGAATGCAGTAGTGACTATCCCAGAAAGGACACTGTCTGGATGTCAGGAGGGCATTAGCGTATTACATAGACAGGACTCGGGAATTTTGTAAATCACCACAGCTGTTTATCTCAGTGGCAGAGAGGATGAGGGAGTCACCTGTATCAGCGCAGCGCTTATCCTCGTGGATCACTTCCTGCATCCGGGAATGCTATGAGAGAGCAGGCAAGCCTGCACCTAGGCTGACAGCCCACTCCACAAGGGCTCAGGCAAAAACAGCAGCATTTCTAGCGTAGGTGCCGATCTTAGAGATCTGCAGAGCAGCTACGTGGTTGTCAGTGCATACATTCGTGGAACACTACGCGATTACACAATTGGCCAGGGAGGACACTGTGCTGGGGTCAGCAGTTCTCAAATCTGCAGAAGTATAGATGTAGGTAATCTTCCGACCCCACCTCCAAGGAAATCGCTGGGGACTCACCTAGTCAGAATGGACATGATCAAGCACTCGAAGAAGAAGAGGTTACTTACCTCATAACTGTTGTTCTTTGAGATGTGTTGCTCATGTCCATTCTACATTCCACCCACCTCCCCTTGTCGGAAGGAGTTGGCAAGAAGGAACTGAGGGGGTGGAGGGGCCAGCAGGGGTATATAGGCACTGGTATACCGGCGCCACTCCAGGGGGTGTCCTGCTGGCACTATGGAGACTGCTAAGGGAAAAAAGCTCCAGAGACCGTGCATGTGGCGCGCACACACCTAGTCAGAATGGACATGAGCAACACATCTCGAAGAACAACAGTTACGAGGTAAGTAACCTGTTCTTTTGATGATGCTTGTTTTAGCCTGTGTTATAAACCTTCTCCTATGTACTAACTTTTTTGAAGTTAGTAACTGAGCAAATTAACTCTGGTTCTCTTTTACTGCTGTTGTCTCTAGAGCTCTGATTCTCTTTCATGGTAAGAGCTATATTTCTGCCATTGTTTTCTGTTCTAGTGAGCGATGCAGATACACAATGCGTGGTCACAAGGATTCGGTCAATAGTATAGAGTTTCTTCCATTCTCCAACACTGTCCTCACCAGCTCTGCGGACAAGACCCTATCTCTCTGGGATGCCAGAACAGTGAGTAACTTTGGCTTTGGACTCTTTCTGATTATATGGAAGTTCGTGGCACAGTGCAAATACACTGGTTGATTAATACAAAAGAAGAATGAAAGAGGTGCAGAAAATCAGCAGCGATACATCTACACTGCACGCTTATTTCGGAATAAGCTATTCTGGAACAAATAATCTGAAATTACCTTATTTTGAAATAGCATGTCTATGCTATGGAGAAGCCTCAAAATGAGTCCGAGGTAGGCTCTCCTAATGTGGACATGCTACCTCGATTTAGAGCCCCAGGAAGCACTACTTTGAATGGCCCTGGGAAAGAGCTATTTCGAAATAGCAGTTTCAGAAGCGGCATTATTCCTTGGGGAATGACGTTTACAGAAGTAGGAATAAGTTGTCCGTTATTTCAAAATTATATCAAAATAACCAAATTGCTGTGTAGACCCTCACATTGTTATTTTGAAATAACTTTTGTTATTTCAAAATAACTGTGTTGTGTAGATGCACCCCTGGTGTGGTGTTAGGATTTTTGTAGTTGTATACAGAGCTTTTCATCTGCAGGCATTTTATACTGACCAAAAAGTTATTACCATGTATCACGCGTCCCTCCACACTCGGGGTTTAGCTCTCCCATTGGGGCTCCCCTTGCGGGGGCTGCCGCCTCCTTCCCATGGTAAAAGCCGGGATTGTCGCTCCAGTGCCGGCTGAGAGCGGAGAGGGACCTGGACCCTTCCTCTCTCCAGGTCCCAGCCCAGGACCCTAAGGACAGGCGTCGTGGACGTCCTGCCTGACCGGGGGGGCTACTGCCGCAACTCACCGGTCCCCAGGTCCTCCCTGGTCTTGTCCTGGGCTGCTTCCTCCTCTCCGGCCGGCCACCGGTCGTCTCTGCCAGGTCTGGTGGTTATCCTCACCCCGTCCTGGCGAGCCGATCCTTCGTCGCCGGCTCCAGTGCTCCGTTGGGTCCAGTCTGGTCCTGGCTTGTCCCGAGGCACCTCCATCCCATGGCTCTGCTCCCCATCCCAGCTGGTCTGGGGCGGCTACCTCCCTCCTCCTTTGCTCCCAGCTGGGATCTGCCTTTTGAAGCCTGCACCCCTTTCCAGGGATGCCAGCGCATGCGTTCCGGGCCCTCTGCCCCTCCCCCGGCGCACTCGCCAGGGAACTGCCTGCACCCGCGGCCACTGACGAAAGGCGCAACAGAGCCGCTCGGGTTTCCCGGCCCCTGGGCCATCCTGCGCCTGAGTGCAGGGCATGGGGCTAGCCTCCGCAGTCCCCGCCGCCCCATCACACCTTGTAACATATCTTTGTGAACCTCTGAAATATGTTTGATCCACCCAGTATTTTTGCTAATATGCATAAATCAACAGTCACACTTAGCAGCAGTTCTTGTCCTTATTGGCATTCTTAGAAGAAAGTCTGAGGGCCAAATACCAACTTTATAACTACCCTCTGCAGAATGGAGTTGAGAACCATGGACTCCTTGGACTGTGTTTGGAAGACTGCACTACTACAGCCACACGGTATTTCTTCCGCCAATAGAAGAGTTGTCAGGGAGCTTTGTCTGATACCTTTCCTATGCATTCCAAGTCACTTTCAATTGTTTATAAAGAAGATGTACTAGTGAAAAATGGATGTGGGAGAAATGGAGGGAATAAGAGGTAGTAGGCATAATGGATTGGGATTTTTTTGAGGGATTGGCTTTCATAACTGCTGACCTCTCATTACTTATGGATCATTCCACCATAAAGAGAATGAAAATGTACTTCTCACCATCTCCTCATCCTCACTTTTTCTTGTGTGCATACATACCTAGACTGAAATGCATTCACAAAGTATATACAGTACAGAATGGTATAGGGATGTTAAGTATCAGTTAATTAACTGAGTAGCTGATGGAAATTCCATTGACTACTCTATTAGTCGATAAGGGGGAGAGTGCTCCCCCTGCGGCTTGGTACTTTAAATGTAGTAAGACCCCAGTAGGCTCTTACTACATTTAAAGCTGTGCAGTTGCTCTCGGGGGTGGTAGAAGCTGGGCCTGAACAGTCTCAGCTTGTGCTCACCTCAGGACCGCTGCAGCCCTGCCCCCTCACATCGTGAAGATGGTGCTGGGAGGAACCGGCTTTTAAGGTGGCTTCCCCTAGCACCGGCTTCTGCTTCCCCCCGTCTTGCTGCCTCTGATACAGAGGCAGCGGGGGGGAGGGGAGAGTGAGTAGTCGAGTAGTTATGTGACTACCTGATAAGCCTAGGCTTATTGGGTAGTTGGCTACTCAACTAGTTGCTTACATCCCCAGAAAGGTATGTTGCAACCTCTTGATCTCTGTTACCTTTGGTCTACACCACAATTTAAAGGTTCAACCTAATCGATAAAGAATGTAATAATAAAAGTTCACTTAGGAATGGAGCGACAGATTTGTGCCTCCCCTAAGAATACCCAAAGGATAGGGCCAAAAGGCAGAGAACACATCTACCACCGTGGTAGTCCTCCTACACTGTGGGAATTCTCAAGTATTCCTTGAGCCGACATTCTGACCCCTTTGCAGTACTCTAGCAGCACAATGCGACCAGAACCTGGCACAGAATGTAGAAGATCATGTTGGTGTGAAAAGTAAAGATGTGGGGGATGAAAGAGGAAGAAGAAGTCATTGCTGTAATAATTACGCCAGTTGTAGATGTGAGAGAGACGTTTGCATGAAGGAAATCGCAAAATGCTCTGAAGTTCATTAGCCACTTTCTATTTATGGATCATAGAAACAGACAGGAGAGAAGGTCATTCAATAAGAATCATGAATATTAAGCACAGCATGTTAAAATGAAGTCAATCAAGACTCATTGTTCTTAGATATGGAAGTTAGTTTCTGAGGAAGTTTGACAGAAGTATGAATAATTTAAAAAGAGAGTGAATCTTGAAATACAAAAGTAAAAGGTTAACTTCGCTGGAAAGAAAATCTTTGTTTATATTAAAGTAACTTTTTTACCATAATTTAATGTCTAACACACTATCACTGAAATCTCACCAATACTGCTTTGTACAAAGAATAAAGACTCTTATTTGTTCATGAACAAACTGGGAACAAGAACATTACAGATATGTCAGGATAACAACAGTACCCAGAATGATAATGGAGCAAATAATTAAGCAATCAGTTGGCAGACCGCTAGAAGATAATAATGGTATAAGTCACAGCCAGTGTAGATTTGTCAAGAACAAATAATTGTCAACAATCATGTCATGATATAGGTGGGTTTAAGCAGGAGGTTGGACTAGATGGTCTCCTGAAGTTTCTTCCAACCCTCATCTTCTATTATTTTATTATTCTAACCAAGCTATTAGCTTCCTTTGACAGGGAAACAAGTTATGTGGATGAGGGGGAAGAGGTAGATGTGATATATCTTGACTTAAGTAAGGCTTTTGATGCCTTCTCACATAGTCGTCTAATAAATATACTAGGGAAATACAACCTAGATGGAGCTACACTAAGGTAGGTGCATTACTGATTGGAAAAACATTCCTGGAGAGTAATTATCAGTAGTTCACAGTCAAGCTGAAAGGGGTCCCCCAGGAATTAGTTCTGAGTCCTGATTTGTTCAGTATCTTCAAGATTTAGGTGGGGGTACAACTTTGCTGACAATACATAGCTGGGAGGGGTTACAAATGCTTTGGAGGACAGGATTAAAATTCAAAATGATCTGGACAAACTGGAGAAATGATCTGAAGTAAACAAGATGCAATTCAATAATGGCAAATGCAAAGGACTCCACTTAGGAAGGAACAATTAGTTACACACATACAAAATAGGAAATTCTTCTCTAAGAAGGAGCATTGTGGAAAGTGATCTGATGGTCATAGTGGATCACAAGATAAAGATGAGAAAAAAAGGCCTTTAACACTGCTGCAAACATTTCTGGTTGATTTAGCTGAAGTGTTGTAAGTAAGATACCATATGCAATTCTTCTATTCCACTCTTCCCTGATTAGGCCTCAACTGGAGTATTGTGTTCTGGGTGCCACATTTCAGGAAGTATTAAAATGATTAAAGTTCGAGAAAGCATGATCTGTGACAGAAAATTGAAAAAAAATGGTTTATTTAGTCTGGAGAAGAGAAAACTGAGGGAGAACATAAGTTTTCAAATATATAAAAGGTTGTTATAAGGAGGAGCAAGGAAAAATGCTCTCATTAACCTGTGAGGATAGGACAGGAAGCTGTTGAGGTGGTTAAGCAGTGGTATAAATTACCTACAGTAGTTGAGGCATCTCTGTCTTTAGAGGTTGTTAAGAGCAGGTTAGACAAACAGCTCTCAGGGATGGTATAGATCAGTGGTGCTCAACCTTTTTAAATTCACAACCCCCAGGGCTGGGAAAATTTTTGTTGAGGGAAAAAAAAAGTGCCAGGAACATTTTGTTGTAGCCCCTTTAATTTAAAGCATTGGTATGCTCCTCTGCCACTCCCCCCCACCTCCTTTGCGCATCCGTTGGGCTCCAAGCCGGGAAAACAAAATGGCAGCTGGCCTGGCACTGTGACCTCCCCAGGAAGACAGTCATGAACCATGGGTTGCGTACCGCTGACCTAGATAATATCTAGTCCTGCCATGAATGCAGGAGACTGAACTAGAAGACATTTGGGGTCCATTCTAGTTCTGTGAGTCTATGCAAATTAGCTGTTTTATTATATAGTGCTCACTACAGCTTGTGTTTCACTAAACTCGGAATTATACCCTTTTCAACATTAGTTCCCCTGCACTGGTTTTCCACAATGGCTAGATTTCCACTGTAGAAAAGGGCGTTGTCCAAAACATAACATGTTTAAAATTGTTTATTTTACCTCTGTCCATTGAGTTATCTTGCACTTATCAGATAAATTGTTCATATATGGCTAGCACTTGCATGGCTAATTCATTACAAAAACCTTATTTCTTTCACAGCTACCAAACGATCAGGTTATGCTAATAGCCTCTTCCAGAAACACAAAAAACTATTTAGTCACATTAGTCAGACTGAAATAGTGCATTTTCCCA